AAAGGATCATACAAACTCGGAGCAATGAACCATGAACGACTACCGAACACCTGGAACATAACTCACTTGAAGCAATACTACTACTAAGATACAACCCCATTCATTCCTTTTACTTATTTGCATTTCCAACTAACACTTGCAGGCAACCATCAAAGAACGATACAATATTTAGGCCTGAAAGCATCCGTTGCACTCTTTTTCCCTTGAACCTATTTTGTCCCAAATAGGTTTTCCGGTAAGGTTTTTAATGAGGCAACAATAAATCTTACTAACTTAGAATCGAAGGCTAGTTACGAATCGGTATCGAAGATCACGACAACAGTATTCGAGGCCTCTCTACGATCGGTCCCGAACACCGNATCGATAGGATTTACTATAAGGGCCAAATGGTCGAATGAATCGTGCCCACATAGACTTCTCGAGCCCTGACATAAAGCTTGTATGCACGTGTAATCGTATATATTACGCACAGAAATGAAAGGAAGTCTCTACCTTGTGGATAAACATCTTTTCCCTTAAAAAATTTCTTTTCTCTCTGAATTTCCTACATTTGATCCCCTAAAGGTATCGAGCCCAAGGGCCGCCTTTATCCGGGTTCAAAAGATCACTCCCACTTGGCGACTGCCGTCCAGAACAAACTCGGACGGCCTGGGCTATCAGAGTCTGAGGGCATACGACCTATTAGGCAGCGCCCGAACCTTAAAGGCTACGGACATCCCCATACGGGTACTCTTATCTTAGGCAAGTCTAAATAACTCGAGATGACAAGCCCATTGGGCAACACCTGAACTAAAAGGCTATGGCCATATTAAAACGGCTCAGAGACGTCTGAGACCCGTAACAAAAAACAAGGCCTTAAAAAATTTCTTAACCGGTTCTAAAGGCTGACCTCGGCAAACTATAATCTAAAATAATATAAGTACTTTAGGGAAAAGTTCTGGTTATACCAAACCCCCATGATGCCTTAAACAAAATAATGTCGAAGGCAAGGCCTGTTCTAACCTCCGAACATGACCTAACTATTTCATGGTAAGGCATTTCGATCTTTGCAAACATATCAAAGGGAAAAGGAAGCCTTGTATTATATATACATATAGTCTTTACAAAGGCCAAACGGCCTTGAAAAAATAAAAAGTACAAAAGTACAAAAATACTAAAAACAAAGAAAAATATACAAGGCACTTAAATGGCCTGGAATTCACCGGAGCCCGCCTCGTCGCCACGGTCTTTGGAGTCTCCTCCACCCTCAGATCTGCTTGAACCCTCAAAGCCTTCTTCATCCTCGGGATAAGCCAACTTCTTGGCCTCGGCTTCGAGCCCCTTAACACTCTCGATTTTGGCCGACAAGTCGAAACCCCGAGCATGAATCTCCTCGAGAGCCTCCCTTCGGGATTGCCGATTCGCATGCTCGACGATATCCTTCATTCGATCCTAGGACGCCTAGGCATCGGCCTTATATTGGGCCACCATCTCGTCGGCAATGGCTATAACCACCAAGACCACCGTCTTGGCCGTTTAAAGCTCCTTGGCAAGAGTTTCTTGATCAGAGACGGCCGAACTTAGCTGAGACTGGATCTCCTCAACCATTTTGGCCTGCAGCTCGGCCTTTTCCTTTGCCGCTCGAAGCTGGGCCTCAATTGAAGTCAGCTGCACCCGAGCAGTCTCCTTTTTCGAGACTTGGCGGTCCATCCTGCCTCTCCATTCATTGGTCTTTGCCTTGACAACATCTATCTCAACTCGAAGTTGGTCGGTCCGATCGATTTTTTGTTGGACCTGCTAATTCCGACCATTAGTCACCGAGTCTAGGTTATCGTCACTAACCTCGAATATTTTTACCTGCTCGACCAGGTCGGCATGCTTTTTTCGAGCCACCTCTAGTTTAGCTCGGAGGCTCTTAGCCTCCCCTTCACGCTGCTCGCTGAGAAGTTTAAAAGTATCTCTCTTCTCAGTGAGCCCTCGGACCTCAGCTTCAAGATGGTTCAGCTAGTCCCGATATCGAAGAAAGGTTTCTTGATTAAGCACCGAGGCCTACAGACACAAAGAAAAATGTTAGGATTATCTATAAATTAGTCTATGTACAAATTAAAGTCATCAAGAGATACCTGAAGTTACCCGGTTTAGCGCATGTTGTGCTTCGTTGAAGAGGCAGGGCGCGTCTACCTTGCTCATCTTGGCTTGGTCTTCCTCGGTCACCAGACACCGAAGCTAACTGGCTACCCCTACAGGGGCAGAGAGGACCCGGACATCCTCTAGAATAGAGATGACGATCGATCTCTTCCGATAAGGTTCCACACTCTGAAATGGGAACCGGTTGATCAATTTAGGGCTTGAGGAAGGGTCATTTGTTCCCAAAGATGAAATTTTCTTTGGCACCTCCAAGTCACCCAATCCGGTGACATCCTATGTGGCGTTAGAATCCATGCCATCAAAAAAACCGTTGAAGGGTCATCTGCTCCATGGGCCCCCTCGTTGGGACGTTCCTTCGCCGTTTGAGCCTTGTTATACATGGACCCGGTGAACGAGGGCGACTCGATAATGTCTATCACACCATGTGCTTCCTTTGGGGAATTGCCCAAATCCCAGGAAGTTTAGGCCATGACTTAATCGTTAGCCTTCCTAACTTGAGGCAAATCGACCTAGCCTCTCTCCGGTTCGGAGACCCCTTGTCCCTCGAGTTGCGATGACACACGGACCATCAGATCGAAGGCTTCTCCTTTTTCTTTGGATTCGTCCCTCAACCGATAGAGTGAATCCGAAGATGGTGCTCGAGCGCTTGTTCTTTCTTTGGATTTGTTCCCCAAACCTTCTCCTTGGTTTCTTCTTCTCCGAGATCGGAGAACTCTGAGCCCTCTTTCTTTTCTTCTCATCACCCTGTCTCGGAGCAGGGGACTCAGCGGGGAAGTTCTCGCCACCGGATAGAGGTCTCAGTATCACGTCCTTGGATAAACCTGCAAAAGGAAATGAAACAAGTGAGAACTTAATGACACGAGAGGAACATAAATATTACTTACTCGGGAAAGGAATCTCACCATGAGAACGAGCCTCCAACCGGCCCTTCGAAAGTTTGCGCCATGATCGCTCAGAATATTTCCTTTGTAACACGATGCTCTCAACCCACTCCTTGAGTCGAGAGACTGTATTCGGGACCCGAGCGACAGCTGCACCACCACAAAACATCGATAAGAAGGAAGGAAAAAAGCGTAAAATAAGATTTTGAAAACGAAATTTTACTTACGTGATATATTCCACTTCTTAGGGAACGTCATGTGCTCGGCTGGAATCAAGTCTGAGGTCCTCACTCGGACGAAACGACATAGCCAGCCTCGATCCCAATCTTTATAAATACTCGAGAAAGGGGAGTTACTGGCCCGGCACGCGAGCTTGATCAGTCCCCCCCGAAAGATTTGGGAATGGTATAGGCGCATGAGGTGGTCGACGGTGAACAAGCATCCATCGATCTTGCTCACAAAGTATCGAAGAAGGATCACGATCCTTAAAAATGAGGGGTGAATTTGACCGAGGCATACCTTGTATCTTTTACAGAAGTCGATGATGACCGGATCCAATGGGCCCAGTGTAAAGGGATAAGTGTAAATACTTAAGTATCCCTCGACGTGGGTAGTGATGTCGTCATCGGGTCCGGGAACCACCACGTGCTTGTTAACCCAATTGCAATCCTTTTTTACTGTAGGGAGGACTTTTTTAGTGATCGAGCATATACGGGGGAAGGTTTTTCAACCTTGAAATTTGCGGTTACTGAGCAACCTCCAGGGATGAAAATTTTTAATGGGGGTTCCGATACTGGTTCCTCGACAGCAGTACGCGAAACGGTCTCCTTGGTAGCAGGCCGCGAGGTAGAAGGAGTTTCTTTTTGGGGAACAATTTTTGAAGTCTTTGCCATTTCTTTGAAAATTGAGGAAAAATGAAAGTTAAAGAAGTACACTTGATGGCTTGAGATGGAAATGAACAAGGGTTCTTGCAAAGGATTTCAAATAACCAAAGTATAACTGTATCAAGTACTGAAATTTCGAAGCTACGAGGGTAGAAGGATTAAATGTAAAGTTAGAATGAACAAAGGAAGAGGTATTTATAGTATTTCAGTGGCGGTTCACATCCAGTAATGGCCGACCGGCGGCTGACATGCATTTAATGTCATTAAGACTAGACTGACGAGACGTTTCGTTTGTTTTGTTGTTTTTGTCGCGGGGTATCGAAGTAAGAACCGGAAGCTCATGTCGTTTCTCGTCGTCTACTCTCCAAAAAATGAGGGGACAATCTGTATACGGTCGAAATCGAGATCGCCTACGACATGGTAGGTTAGGTTCGGAACATGGCAATAAAGGACTTAAGATCGACCCCAAGTCCCACCGGGCTAGAACTAGGAGTTGGAACGCCCGCTTTCGAGAATATCGAGGTCGTGATCCGGAAATCGATCCTAACCCCGAACGAGCTCGAAGAAACATTGTTAGCATAATAGAAGACCGAAATATCCGTGACCGGTCGGATATTACGGTGGGAAACTCGGCACGTATTAATGAGGAACTGGCAATCGGCAAATCAAGAGATTTTTTTACCTTTAACAGAATTGTACCTAAAGTAGGATTCTCTATTATATAAAGGGGGTCTGATAATTCATTTAACACATTGTAACACGCATTCAAAAGCAATACATTATTATTGTTCTCTTTAAGCTCTTGTTCTTCTGTATCGTCATATCGATCAAAGTGCATCTGGCTCGAGGGTGGCTAACCTTCCGAGATTGAAACTGTCCAATTCGTGTGGTTTGAATTTACTTTACCATTATTTGTTTCAATTGCAACTTAATTTATCACTTTGTATCAAGTTATTCCGCGTATCCTTAAAATCAATAACAAATTCAATTGTTATCCGATTTTGAGGGTAAACAATTTTGATGAATCATAAAAAGAGATTTCAAAATATGACAGATACATTCCTTCACTAGATCTATAACCTACAAATTCATGAATTATTTTACTCTCTTAACTTCGAAGAAAGGATCTACTTTTAACTAGTTGAAGAAGTGGTTTATTCGTAAATCTAATTAAGTTGTATACAAACGCTCCCGCTAGAGTTCCGATGACTGGCCCAATTATATACACCCAAAGACCTTTATAGACTTGCTTCACAATCGCTGGACCAATGCTCCTTGCTGGATTCATCGATGCTCCTGAAATTGGCCTGCATCCACTTCATTTGAAAGGTAAGAATTACTACTCTCCATTTCCTAACAAAAAAGAATGGAGAGATTGACCGATTCAAAAGCGTGGGTCATCTAAATATAATTTTTGGCATGAATCTGAAAGCCAATTCCTTAATTTCCTTAAATTAAAATTAAAATTAAATATATATAGAAATTTTTTTAAGAAAAATAAGTACTAGAAAGAACAAATTATTATAATTAAATATTTAGATGTGCTATGTAAAGTGATATGATGAGTAGTTAAACTTTAAGCATACCCGGCAACAAAGACATTCAAGGTTATTGTCATTCCAACTGCCAATCCACTTAGTTCTCCTATCTGCTTTTCACATGCAAAACCAATGAATTAACCAATGACCTTGAGAATGGTGCTAAATTTCTAATGAATTTATCTGCTCAATGTAAAATATATACAGTAAGAATTAACATACCGCTCTAACATCTGTAGAAACTCCGCAAACAACGAACATTAGGAGGAAGGAAATGATGATTTCCATAGCCAAAGATTGGCCATTAGATCCTACTGGAACAGTACCAAAATAAGATGTGGAAGTGACGTCCAACAATAGTGCTAATGTGCCGCTTGATAGAATTGAGCCCGTTAGTTGAGCTATTATGTACAAAGGTGCCTGTGCATTGCATGGATATCATATCATATTACATATACATGTTTATTCGATCAAGACTACCAAACTGAAAAGTTCAAGAGGTTAATTTGGACCGAAAATAGTTCAGGTCTACGTCAAATAAAAAGTGTCAAAGTTCAAGGAGATTTCAATATATTTTGCCATAAAAATAAGGAATTCCTAAAATGTGACACTAACTTTCATTTAAACACTTGATCGTTAGTTATGTCCAGGGGCGAATTTACATGGTCACGTGAACCCATGCACCCCTTCTTAAATAGTGTATAGCATTGCAGTTTTTCTGGGAAATTTATAAATCTTGTTATATGTGAACCCATGCTCAACAGTATACAGTGGCGCAGTGATTGATTACTTGGTCAAGGGATCGAATCCATTGTCCTGTTATTTTGGTAAAGTCCCGGTTTTCAGTTTGTCTTTTCTTTTCCTTTGTCCTTTCATTCTTTTAGATCTTGTTTTTTCCTTTTCTTTCTTTTCTATTTTGGTTCCCCTTTTGTTGTTTCTCTTTTTTTTTCCTTTTTTTTTAGTCTTCTCTTTCTTTTATGCTTTTTTTGGGGTCATTTCTTTCTGTTCTTTTTTTGGTTCATTACCTAAATATCAAAATTCCCATATCCTCTAGACTCCAGTCTCAACACGAGTCTTCAGCAACACTTTTACCAAAGGTTACACTTTTTCCAATTTCCTTATTGTTTTTCTCCTTTTTCTTTTCCTTCAATTTTTTTGTTTGGGAAGTAAATTTTCTTCAAATAATGATGTTGTTGTTGACTGCTTTCAAAGTATAAAAACTTGTTTAGATAATTGTAGATCAAATGATATTTCTTTAGTATTAATTAAAGTTTACTAGTCTAAATTGTTATCGTGACAAAATTTTATGAAATTAAATCAAACGGCAGTAAAGTACACCCCTTCTTTTAAAATCCTGAATACGCCTTTGATTATGTTCTACGTACCAGTTTCCATGAGAAACGACGGAAGATAGTGAAAGCGATCGTCACAGCAGGATTAAAATGAGCTCCAGATACGTGTCCCAAAGAGTAAATCATAACCATCACAATTAGACCCCATGTCACGCAAATCCCTGGAAACGTAATACTCCCATCGTATAGCTTATTCACTGCTACTGATCCACATCCTGCAAATATAATAAAGTACGTCCCAATTGCCTCTGCAATCAACTAGAAAAAAGAACAGAACATATTAATAAGCTTACCTTTAATTTAATACTTTCATAGTGTAATTTTTTTAATGTATTGTGTCACTTAACAAAATAATTACAAGTAACTATTGTCAAAAACCAACCTTTTGTGCAACAGCAACAACGGAAGGTGATGAACAAAATCCTATGCTAGTGTTAGACTGGGACGCACATATATTATCTGCACGGACACCTTCTTCCAGTTTGGAGATTTCATCTTCTCGGATACCTTCAATCTGCGCTGCCATGCTTGTACAAGTATAAAGGCTAATTTTTCTCGATCCCTAACAAACCTAATGACAAGTATTTCGTGTTAAATTATTGTACAAGTATAAGGGTAATTCTCGATTTCTTTTCCTCTTCTTTATCAAGGTGGGTATATATAAGTAAAAAGATAGGCAATCGAAAAATTTGTTGGAAGCTTACAAAATGTTTGACCAATCTAATAGCTAGTCCAAGCTGTTCAATCTTTCATATTGAAGGTCAACCTTTGATGTCTTTAATAGTTGCGTGGATAATATAATATACGTCTAAGGGCAGCAAGATACGTATTATATTTATTAGGATCTCCACAGTGTTTCAAACTTTGAATAATCATAGTTAATTATCTTCGAAAATTTTTACTTTACTCATATGGTCTAGAATCACATTCTTGGATAAAGATGAGAGAATACCGTTTATGACTTTTTATTTTTATGTATAACGTTGGTGAAATATGAATTGCAACTTGGACTTTGGCAACTTCTTAATTTGGATTTACCTAGTCCCTGGTCAAAACAGAAATGAGATCAGCAGCCACATGCATGGGACAACTGTGAGTTTGAGGTACCTTATCTAGTCTAGAGTTGAAAGCAGTCCCCTTAACGTGGTTACGTTAATCTCATTCACGAGCTAAACCACACAAAATTAGATTCCTTGGTGTTCCATTTTGTCGTCCTAGAGAAACGGAATCAAATTTTAACTTATATAAAAAATATATATAAACACAATTTATTGACCAAACATGAAAAACATGCGCAATTTCCATAAGGTATATATTTTATGACATGTTAGTAATATTTTATTTACCATGTTACTGTATATATCATGTAACCAAATGATGTAAATTATCTACGATGTGTCACTGCATAAAATTTAAACTCTTTTTAATAAAAAATAAATTCTTTTTTTTCTCCAAAATGAAATGAAAGGTATCGCATGTCATGGATTGTAGAAGAAGGTGAACAGACTTGGTTGGAAAGACAAGGGAGCAAAGTAAAGGAGGAACTGAACCTAATTAAACTAATAGCATGACAGGTGGAAGATTTAATGGCCATGAACTAACAGTACGTAAGAGTTTCGGCAAGAACATCCCTCATTGAAGTTCTCCGACTCATTTGTTGACATATACATCTTAGGAAAATAGCAAATTTAAATTTAATAAGTAAATTAGTGAGACCTTATTATATGTACATATTTTCTTTTAATATGTATATATTTAATCCACGAAGCACGATCTAAGTCCACCTTTGCTTAGGAATATGATGAAATCTCATCAATATCACTCTCCCCTTAGCTGTTTTTTCCAAATCATTTGCTAATTGCAGTAACTATCTTAGTTTTGCTTTCTTCCCCCTCATCGGCGTGTATATATATAGTCTTGTCGATCATCGATCGTCAATGTTCTGCAGTCTTTCAGCCACCATATTGCCTCTGCCATATGAGTAATGACATAGTCCATAGAGCAACATTCTGCAACCCTACGCCAATATTAGAGTAATAATCTGCGGAACCCCTGCAGCTATATATCCTGCATTTGTAATTAGCAACTATATGTAATACTCTATCGACAGGGGAATTAGGCTCAACTCCTGTTGTATCTCTCCATTTCCATAAGTGCATGTCTAATTTAATAACATCTATCATCTTTCAGATCTAAGGATCAAAATTTATTTAGACTAAACCATGATTAAACTACATTTTCTTGCTGGTTTAGTGTCAAAATTGAAAAGAGAAATCAACTATCCGAAAAATCTTGCTGGGATTTCATTTTGATTGGGAAAATATTTTCGGGTCAATGGAAATAATTCTTTGGCACGAGAATGAAGAAAAATAAAAGATTAAACCATTTACAAACTACTACAACAACAACACCACCAAATTGCAAGGAGAAAAACGAAATCAGTTGTTGAGCAAAATATTATTGTGGGCAAAGAGCGACGGCAACAAAACAGGTTCTTCTTCAATCTTATACCTCTTGTGATTTCTGTAGTGTTAAATTAAATTTCTTGTGATTTTTGTAGTGTCAAATTGTCCATGTTAAAAAAATATTTACGATATGTTTGATAAAATGTCTCAACTGAACTTTTGAGAATAAAGTAGGAAATCAATATTTAACAATATGATAAATTGTATTCCTTAAACACACATAGCAAGTTGAATAATTAAGATTACAAATTGTTTCACAAAATGTTGATAGAGAAGAACATGTTTCTTCCTAGTGGCTATGCCCGCTTTCCAGCAAAAAGGCAACATGATAATAGTTTGCTCTACATTTATCACTTGAAAATTAGACTCTATTCAACCTTGTATAGACTTCCAATCTTAGTTTCTAAATAAAAGTTCAAAAAAGCTAAAAGTTATGAATAAGATTTATTTTATTCGTTAAATAATAGGAATTGGCAGAAGGAAGTTTTCCTCCATGGTGCCCTTCACAGTTGTCCGAAGGATCATCCCATAGAAGTTTGACCCAACTCTTAAGAGTCAGTTAGCAAAGCTTATGATGCTTCTCATATTTATTTATTTTCTAATAAGTAGTGCTACTCATCCCAATATGTCTTTTTTTCTCTTTTACTAATTCCAGGATGTTTCATTTCATGATTTAAACAATTATTCTCAATGTTGAGTGTGCCAACTTCATAGAATCAAATATTATATGCACTACAAGAAAATAGGCCTTTAGCGAGGGGAAATCTGATCGTTAAAAATTCAAATCCGGTCGTTATAAGTTTATAACGACCAGAAAAAATCCGGTCGTTAAAACCCCTGACGTTAAAAGTTAACGACCGAATTACAATGTGGTCGTTAAAGATCCTTTAGCGACAACATAATTTCCGGTCGTTATACATCCTTTTTAACAACCGGATTTTTCCTTCGCTAAATTGTTATCCAGTCGTTAAAAGTCTTTAATGACAATAACTAATTCAGTCATTAGAAGTGCTTTTAGCAACCGATATTCCCTTCATTATTTGTATTAATTTTAAAAAGCAAATTTACCTTTATTAATGCCCATTAATCTGTTTGAGAAACCTATAATTAAAGAGTTTCAATGGCTATATTTTTCTTTGCTAATGTAAAATTGTACTAAATATAAGTACAAAAATTTAAATTAGATGTATAGAACTAATTATTTATATGCTTTTATAAACACCCAACAATACTCTAAAATAAACCAAATATTTGGTATCTTTGTCAATATAAAGAATTAAAGTATCATATTTATCAGAAACCAATCTAAATCGTATGACATCATTTTTAATAATTCCTAAGAAGAAAAAAATAAAATTGCAGCATATATACAGTGTCTTTAAATCATCCCTAACAAAATATAAACCTCTTGTACTTCAACTTGCTCTAAACTTTCTTCAAAGATAGGTTCTTCGGACTTCAAATATTTGATCTGTTAACATAACAAAGGTATGTCAGTTTAGTAACAAAGAATAAACAACTAAAGATGAAATATCAGATCCATTAAATTAAAGGCTACACTTAATGGCCATAAAGAAGAATTGAAATAATACAACGATCAGATGACTTGTTCCATATATTGAAGGTTGACAGATATGAACAATAGAGAAGAAGAATTCAAAACTTATCCATTTGGAAATTCAGGCTTTACTTGCTACAGTATACATGGTAGTATATAGTCAGTTAAATATGACAACCCCTAAAGGGGGCAGAATGACTTTAAGTACATTTAGTGTAAAAGAGAAAGCAAGCCAATGTATGGCACTAAGAAGAGTTAGACTCTGTCAAAGGCATCAGAATGAGTCATAATTGGCAACAAAGACAAGAACAAGTAGTAGAAGAATAAGAGGAAAATAGATATCCACACATGCATAACCAACAGATTCACAATCATCTTGTCCCCATGTATGCTCTCTGCGGGAGATTGTCATCAATTTCCCTTTGCCATCTTCCTCTAATAGGAGTACAGTATCATATTGTAGAGATGAACCGGAAGATTTTTCATGGCATCGAAACTTTCTAGAAAATGTATTTTATGCAGATTTAGAAAATTATGATGGAGGGTTTCTGGAGAATAAAATTTGTGGCGCACTATCATCATATACCTTATAAAAAATGCCCAAAATTAATTGCTAGTAGAGAAACTAAAAGAGTTGGTAGGGAAGTGATTGGCCTTGGTAACAAGGACTGGGCTTTGTGAACAAGAAACATAGAGAGCAACCTCTAGAGAAGTCTTTGTACTTATTCTTTTTAATCTGCTAAGGTAGTAATTGAAGTAGTCAAAGAGCTTCCTTTCATTAATTATTAGAAAATAGAGCTAGCTCACCAAAAATAATTTTGCAAGAATATAACTATCAATTTTTATTTTTTGCAAGAATATCTTTAGCATAAGAAAGTGAAGCATTCATTAAAATTTCATTCACTGTATGACGAGTTTATTCATTTGGACAACTTGTTAGACGTGTTGTCATAAATATAATTACCTAATGCAAAGCAAACACACAAATATAAGTATATAATAACAACAATGCCTCAATCTCAATCAAGATGGGTAAGCTTATGAAAAGACTCCTAGCAAATATTGGACCTAGACTAATTGTAATAAAAGGATCTAAGACGTAATCTCAACTTACTACCACATGTATAGATCTTTTATTTACATTGTGCTATATTTTTTGCTAGGTTTGCATGAATTCCAAGAAATTATAGGTCTTTCGAGATAACTCCTTAAACATATAAATAGAAGACAAATCCAAAACACTATCCTTTTCAATCTTCAAGAAATTCATATGTAAACTATGTTAGACCATTATTTGTCTTAACATCCTCATACCGAACGGGTGTGACATTGGTTCACTTTGTACATATTCTCCAATATAAAGAAAAAAAATGCACATATTGTTGATACAACCTTCTCTAAAAACTACAGACTTATATAATAAGCATTTTCAGAGAATTCCAGATGCATTTGGACAATTTTCTTATCCTATTTTCTATCAGCAGAGATGTTAATATTCAACAGGTGTGTGCTATAGAGTTTTATTCTTAATCTGTAAATGGTCTTTTGAAAAGTTTCTTCTTTGTGAACACTG